GCTTTGGGAACAACACCCAAGCCTACCTGCTGCACGTCAAAGTCCCACAGCGTCTGCTACCCAAGGTGCGATTTAGCAGCAATATAAGCAGTGGCTGTCAATTTAGGACTGACGTGCAGCTGTCACATGACGTTAAACCCTCGCGAGAACAACCCTGCTCTCGCCCGGTTAGTGTCGAAAAAATTAAACAAAGGAGGATTTTTAAATTAGATCTTTAAATAAAACAAAATAAAATTAGATTTAACAAAATAGAAAATAAAATAACTAAACTACGTCTAATATAGAAAAATTATCCTGGTTACACATTGTTTTCTAAGGTCAAATAGCCAATTAGATTTTAGCTAATCTCACAATCACAACTGTAATGATTGCCTGAAACATGATTTCAATGGTTGGGGGGAAAAAAAACAAAAAAAAAACAGTTTTAGCTAAAAGTCAATTTCTATATTCCCTCTCAACCGCTGATGACGACAAACACCAGTGATGGCAAACCCTCACTCATGATGCGCTCACATGTGTGACCAGGTCTGAACCCCAGGCCCAGGTGAAAGTTGTGCTCTGCCTTCGTGTGAACTCTACCTGCGTGTTTCAGTCTGATGAGGGATTATTTAATGAGGAAGCAGAGCTGCTTCTCCTGAAATAATTTACATTTCAAATGCATGAGGTGATTATTTCAGTGAATTAGCACAGTGATTTATTGTTGAATAACTTAGCTCAGTCAAGCAGAATGGAGACAGCCAACGTCTACAGAGGCCCTCCACCAGGCGAGGAACTGGGTGGAGCTCTTTGGATTTACCACCAGGGGTCAAATCCCCGCACCTCCAAAAAACAACTAAAACAAACAAAAAAAAAAAGATTAAAAGAGGAAAAGAAAAGAAAAAGAAAAAAACTGCCTGTGGAAGGATGTACAGAAGAACCGGACAGATAAATGAAAGCAAAGTAAGCAGAAAACGAGGCAAAAAGACTTAAGGTAGAATGGATATGAAAGGCAAAGGGGACACAAGAGGGAAGAGATGAACATTGGTTTAGAAGAAAATCAATAAGTAACAAAGGGGATACTGGTAATTGCCTTGCAGAGATGAATGGATTGAGTAGCTGAGGAAGGGGAGCATACAGGTGCAAAAAGGAAGCAGAGAAAACTGAGATAAAACAGAAAAATGAATGTTTATCATAAATATTGTGCAGGTCTAACATACACCTGAGGAAGTTTAATCAGAATTACTGAAAGCAATTCGAGTCTTAAAAGTTTTGTGATTCTTTTCCAAACATTTACACTAAATTATTTCTATTTCTCTGTTTCTCTCTAACTTTTCTCTTTAATGCTGCAATTATTTTTAATTTGCTCTGTGGGTCACGGGAGATGTTACAGATTTTATCCAAATATATAAATTAAATGAAAAACAAAATGTAAGACTTGTCGCATATCAGCTTTGAAATGTTTCTTAAAACACTGACCTGGTTAAAAGCACATTGCTAATGTCTGTAAGACAACAATTTAATTATCTTACAATGTTGACTCATGTACAACATTTATTCATAGATAAAACATCAAACTTTAATGTTTTACTGATTCATTGACTTTTTTTTATTTATACGTAATAGTAGGAGTGAAGATATTAAATATTTTGGTATTCAATTGGATACTCCCTTGAATAATCAAATAAAGAGATAACGTGCCAGGTGCTCCCAGACTGACACTCATTGTTTACTGCCAGTGCAATGCAGTGTCTCCGTTTTGGTAAACCAAAACTTTATCTTTTTGGTTTTTGTCTTCAATATTTTCACAAAATCAACTCATATGCCAGCTCAAGATTCCTGTATTCCAGAGGTCACCAACCTTTTTGCAACTGAGAATAATGAGAAGGAGAACCATTTTTGATAAATACATTTTACTTTGAACTCTTTCACTGAATGTTTCATGATTTATCTGTCTTTGAAACAGTTTCTGCAACCAACATGGAGTCTTTGGGGGCAACCTGATGCCTGCCTGTACCGTGTCGGTGATCCATGCTGTATACAAAAGTTAATGTGTCAACACCATTATACCAGAGTTCAGTGCATTAGATAATTCCTGCAGGGTTTGTTTAAATCTATGGGGGAAAAGCTTGTTGTGATTTTATTTATTAGTAAATTGATCGACTCCAAGTGAAAAATCCAAAATCTGACAATATTACTGAGATCGACACTTTTTACCGCTGTTGATTACATGTGGTCAAAACTAAGTATCTGAAAATATGAATGATTGCAAACATTGTGTGCTTTTTAGAAGCTCTATAGTGA